AAGAATATATGTTCTATCCTGGGAAGCAGAAATAAACAAATGATGGAATCATGAAATGTGAAATTTGCCTCAGTTAATTCTACAGACAGTAAGTAGCAGTAAAGAAATGTTTGCAAAATACTTTTAATTTCTTGCAAGAAAGGTACCAAACAAAACTGTAGGTACTGGGAAGCATATAGCTCAAGTGGTAGAATGCATGCTTACCATGCACAAGGTCCTGGGTTCAGTCCCCAGTACCTCCATTAATGAATAAATAAATAAGTAAACCTAATTACCGCCCTACCCCTTAAAAAAAAAAAAGATTGTAGTTGTAGGTATTATCATATACGCACTCAGCAGCAGCCTACATCTTCCTTCTCTCAATTTCACAACAATGTTCCTAAGTCTCTCCCTTTATATAAAGCGAAATACTTCAGCTTATTCCCTGCTACCAACACCTGAAGGCATGTATCTAGTATTCAAATTCACTGAACTCAACTTCCAAGAAACAGTTATTTTGGAAAAAATTAATAAATAAAAAGTAAGGAACACATTAGAAGTAAAAAATTAAACTTGTTAGTCAGGCATGCTGGATACTTATTAAGTCACAGTTATCCTTTACTATGCCAAATCCAGTGTCATCATATATTAAGTTACAGACAAATATTACATGTAGCAATCTTAAATGAAGACTTCCACTGTGATGGCAACAGGGGAATTTTCATTTACTGAATCATGGTATGTTGCGACTGCAACTTTTTATGGGGGTTAAGGATGCCAAGACTGAAAACCCCAATGCCCGTGAACGCCCAGTGCCTTCCTCACTCCATCTCTCTCTCTCAGTCCTTGTTTGTTTCTTTAATAGCACAGCCTAAACTTCAATCTTTGGAAGACAGGGAGTAAATATCCTTTGATTTCCCCTACCTAAACTTGCAGCATCTAAAACTTCTTTCTCTAGCACTTCTAAGGACATACTCCTTTCCACAAACTGTTATGAAGCTTCTCCAATGCTGGTTTAATGTTTGTCACCTCTACCGTCCATGACTATCAGGTACAATGCTGCCTTCAAAGAAGCAAGCTGTCCAAGAACTCAGATGACATGTGTTCACTGCTGCTATAAGGTTGCATAGAAGTTCACATTTGAAGAGCACTTCATCTTTTCAAAGCAGCTTCATATTGTTTTTCTCAATGAAAGTATTATCTTTCCCATTCTTTAAATACAGACACATAAAAGCAAAGCCTTGGATTTGTATCCCAGCTCTGCTACATACTTGCTGTGTTATCTTGGTCAAATTATTTACTCTTTGAGTTCAGTATCCATGAGGGAATTAATACCTACCTTAAAGGACTGTTACAAGTATTAAGGGAGATTATACCTGCAAGGAACATGACACAGTAAATGCTCAATAAAGGTCAGTAATCTTCGCTATGGCCTCCTTAAACAGTTTGTACAAGATTTCTTAGCTAGTAAGCTGGTAAACCTAGAACTTAAACCCAGGTTTCCTGATTCCTTAATCTGTTTTCTTCTCACCACATCACTTTGGCAGACTGCCACATACTACTGAGCACACAAATATTTTCTGACAACAACCGATCACAAAATTTTAATCTATCAGTAACAAATTTTAGCTTTGAGAAAAGGGGAAAAAAAGAGATCTAATTAACTAAGGGGGGAGAAAGAGTTGGAAAATATAAAATATAAACTACCCCCAAACAGTAGGACAGGCTGTACCACAGCACTTCTGTACAAACAAAATTATGAGAAGAAACAGCAAGTTCTGAGTTTATAATGAACAATTGGAGAAAGAAACGAGAATGACTATGATTAAAGGAACTTAAGGGTTTTTTTTCCCTTGGTAAACCAAACCACTGGGCAAAAAGATTTGCATCCCATTCCAAAATAACTCTAGCCAAGACTGAGACATCTCTTAAAAAAAGAGACCTCAGTGTGTTAAGAACAAAACTTTTTCTCCAATTCCTTTAAGAGTGTGATAAATGGAAAGAGTGAGATAAATTGTCAACATCAACTGCCAATGTTCTTGAAGATCTTTGAAGACCAAAAATGTTTGTTTTGGATTCACTATTAGTAAGCAGCATAAAGGAGCACGATCAAAAGAATGAAAGTTTAATAAGTATCCTAACACAAGTTGAAAATATGTTCAAAAATTATACAGTATAAAACTAGGTTATTACTGTTAATAAAAATTACCAACTGTTTTCAAGTTATATACATAATTAATCTTTTTCAAGTGATATACATAACTTCCAGGACAAGTTCAAGAAAACAAAGAAGTTAACATCTTCAATAATCGTCAAGAACTTTCTTACTAAAAGAGAAGACAGAATAATTCAGTCACATTCTGAATTTGTAAATCTGAAACAAAATGCCAGAATAGAGCTTGATCTGACACTGACAGAACACAAGATTTAACCAAGAAAGGTAAAAGTCGGGTGAATTTCTATCACAAAGCAGGGAAGAATCGGATAAGAAGCTCTACCCCTCCTCACCACAACCAAATTTCTTCTCCTCCTCAATTCAGCTTAACCTCTGCTAATTACTTCCTAGGGAAATGTGACAAAATGTCCCTAACATTTCTTGCTGACACTCACAGCAAACTCCATGTATTATTCAGCATTCATTAGAAGCCACTGAGATACTACACTAATTTTAAATTCTATGCAGAACCTACCAATCCCCAGGAGGTCATGTCCCTTCCCTTTCTAAATTCTTTCCTCTGACATAAATTCTCTTCCACCATAAAAATGTTTTCAGAGAACACACATTCTTAGCCTAACTTCCCAATCTAGATTCTCCATAAAGATAGTCTGGTGGCTCTTCATTAATCCCTTTCTGGGAGCACGGAGGTCCCAGTAACTAGGAAATCAATCATAATCATTTCATTTAAACCTTGCTGACCTAATAATACTAGTAACAACAACAACAACAAAACAATAATCTTTCCAAAACTCACATGGGAATTCTGAATTTGTTAAAGAACGTAGACTTGTAGAGTTTCCATTGAAGGACTATGAATTTGGTCTCTTCTCCCTTAAGAAAATCCATTTCCTATTACTGATTCTACATATATACTATGGAAATACTTATTCAACTTACAATGACCTGCAGGTTGATTATTTTTTTCAACAAAAAATTACACAAATTAGAATCATGACACTGAATCCAATAAAAATAAAATGAGTAAGAACATTTAGTCCCCAAAGTTTCCAAGCTGGGAGAGAAAAGGAAAACATAAGAGTTCCTAGAATGCTATCAACTTAAATAGCTCAATATTTGAATAATTTGTACATACAGCCTTTTTAACTCTAGTAATATGCAGTAACTAAGCCACTAATCAAATACAACAAAACTGGCCCTTGGGTTTCATCTGGGTTCTTCCTAGAAAGCACTCTCTCAGAACAAATATCTGACTTCAAAATCTTGACCATCCTCTGTACAACATTAACCATTTAACACTGCAGTTGAAAGATTTCCACTGAGAAACAGGCTGAGGAGAAGGAGGAGAGATAAGTGTCAAACAAAAAGCAAATCAGACAGCAAACAAAATTTTCTATCAAGAAACAGAAAGAAACTGTCATTGTTACTCTAGCTAAAATGATACGGACTTTGAAAAGCGAAACAGCCAAAAGATCGCGCGGTTCCCTTTACTTATTATTAAGTCTCTAGTGACAAAATCTATATTCCCAGGAAGAAGGGAACACAGACAATCAAACGACAAATCACTATGTGCATAATATGGTAAAATGAAAAAAAGTGAACTGGTAAACGACAAAAAATGACTTACGGTGCATTTAGAGATCTGTCTGGAATATGGGAAAAAGTCAAGTCCCAGATCAGCCTCAGTTTCCCCAACCAAAAAAGGTGAGAACATGACACTTCGCTCAGAGGAGCCAGAGGGTCCTGTTCCACCTGCCCCGACCTATTCAAGGGCCCCTTCAAAGGCCGAACTCAGAGGGAGTCCCCAGTGCAATTGAGTCATGACACCTGGAGCCTTTGAGGGGTAGGGAGGAGGAAGGGAGGAGGGTCAAAGCGCGCAAAGCTCAAGCCGTTCCTGGAAAGCGATTTTCCCCACACACTGAGGGTGCCGACACCCGCCCCAGACCCAACACCCTCTCCCTACCGAACCACACTGGACAGCCCAAGCATCCCTCCCTCCTTCCGGCTTCTCCCTTACTTCCCCGCCGCCTCTCCGACCGCGCCCCCGAACGCAGCCGGGTAGCTCCACCTCTGGCGGTGTCTGGGCGGCTGACCCGCCCGCCCACCCGCCGGCGCCAAGGTCTTCCCAACCCGGCGGCGGAAGGATGCCGGGCTGGGCCTCCCAGGCTCCTCCCGGGCCTACCTGCAAGGCGGGCGGGGGCTCGGTTTGCAGCTCAGCGGGTGGACTGAGCCACACACCAAAAAAAGAAGCAGGAAGGAAGCAAGGGGTCCGCTCTACCAACCAGCGGGAGAAAGCAGCCTGAGAGCGGGACCCCGCGGATAAGTCAGCCTTCGACCCGGCGCCGCCGCCGCTCGGGAGACATCAAGCAAGAAGACGGCGCAAAAGATCACCGAATACACGAACGCCCCAGACATCAAAGGAGGAGCGCCTAAGCAATCGTTCAAGGAACTACAGTCAAGCGCCGAAAAATAGCTTCGCTCCAACTTAAGGTCCGACTCCTGTCCAAGGCAGAAATAAACAAACCCAGATCATAATCCTTGGAGTAAAGTAGGCTGGGCTTCTGCCATTTTCTGTGTCGGTTGTCGACTATTGAAGTTGTTTGGAGAACTGGAATATTTCTTGAGTGTTGAAGGTCAAGTCACAGTACAAAAACGCTTGTTATCTAACTATATAGTTCAGCAACTACGTTTTGGACCTCCAACACTATTTATCCCCATTGAGCAAATTTGACCTTAATTTTCTCATGGAAGTGAGATGAATAAAAGAGAAAGATAGGAAAAAAAAAAGAGAGGTAGGTAGGTAGACAGACAGACAGAGATATGGCAGAGGCATATGATAATCCAGAGAACGTGATAATCCAGACTGAGGAACAAAGTGAATAATCTCTATTAGAAGCACCAATTTAGCTCCCATAAGCACAGCAAAGAGAAGCTGAGAAAGCTCAGGGTTGTGAAGTCTGACCTTAAGTCAGGAAGAGAAAGTAATATACGACTGCTCTTCTCTTTTATTTCATTCCAAAGGCCTAGAACCACAAGTGTGTTTCTTACACAATGACCAAAAGTCTCTTTGGGTTCAGAACCTAACAAAGTGTGTTGATGTTTTTATCATCAGAATAGCCTCTTTCTGAAATCTCTTAGTAGACAGATTAATATGGTCAGCACAAATATCTAATATGTTCACCCCAGGTACAACTGAATAAATCACATAGATCACTACAATATGGATTATTAACTGTTAGCAATAATAGTCTACCTTACCTCCTCCTAAGAAGGGAAGAGACTTGGAGAGTAAAGATGTAAAAAGAAAACCACAGACATGGAAAACAAACTTATGGTTACGAGGGGAAAGAAGGGTGTGGGATAAATTGGGAGTTTGGGATTGGCAGATACAAATTACTATTACAGAATAAGTAAACAACAAAGTCCTATTGTATATCACAGGGAACTATATTCAATGGCTTGTATTAACCTGTAATGAAAAGGAATATGAAAAAAAGAATATATATGTACGTATAACTGAATCACTATGCTGTACACCAGAAACGAATACAACATTGTAAATCAACTATACTTCAATTAAAAAAAATATATATATATAAAAAGAACACAAGATAGTCTCAGCCTTTAAAGAGTATATAATATAATCAAAGTGAAAGATCACTTTCTTACATCAGTTTTATTTACAATTTATTATAATTAAATATATATATATCCTTTAAATCCATGAAAATATTTAAGGGACAACTCATGTATATAATATGTAGGATAAGACCATGATCCATAATATAAGGAAACAACACTGGGCTTTGTTGTCTCTCATAGTTTTAGAGGACTTTTTAATGAGTAAACATTGTAGCAACATTTATAAAAGTCTAAAAAAAAAAGAATTTAATAATTTGCTTCCAAAACACAAAGTTTTAATTTGTTCATGTTCCCATGCAGTCCTTGGAAATATTCTACATAATTTTTTAAAGTTTAAGCAGAGATACAACAGTGTTATTGTTCTATCATTACATTATGTAAATTAAAATCTTTAATAGTTGTTATTGTAAACAACTGCACAATATTCCATTAAGAGAACATACTGACCATGCTCCCCATTTTGAATATGAATGTTGCTTCCAAACACTTTCTGTGTAATAGGTATTGCTGCTCCTGGAAGAGGCAGTTATAAACTTATTATTAATGATTATGATCTATTGCACATAAACAAAAAGAATAAGGAAGCAAAGCAGAGGTTTATTTCCCTGTCGTATGAAAGAAATCCAGAGATGTGCAGCCTAGGGTAAGGTGTGGCCGTTCAGCATCAGGGACCAGGCTCCTATCTTGTTGCTTTGACATCTTCAATAAGTGGTTTTCATCTTGGGTCCAAGACAGCTGCTCAAGCTCTAGCCATCATGTCTACATTCCAAGCAACAGGAAGCTGAAAGAGGAAAGGCATGTCTCCTAGCCATAAGGGCACATCTTGAAAATAGCACAGGACATTTCCATTTACATTCCACTGGCCAGAATGTAGTCACATAGCCACACCTAACTGAATTTGTCTTTATCCTAGGAAGTCATGTACCCACTAAAAGTCAGAGGCAAATGGATACTAGGCAACAACTAAAGCAGTCTCTGCCAAATTCCTCGTGCCAGATGAGTAGCAGGCAAAGAGACTGCTTTGCTGTCATCCCAGGGATGAATTTCTACTCTTAGAATATATGCTTTGAAGAAGCTTCCTTCTTGGAGAGGCTTGTGGACTTTAAGTGTCCAGGGCTACAGTCCTCATCCGAACTTGACCCATATAATGACATTATTTTGAAACTTCGATTTCAGTGAGAAAAACTAGGCAAACTAATTTCAAGGCCATAAGATGTTTTTGGTTTCTCAAATCTGGAGACTTTTGAGAAAATCACCTGAAGAGTATGCAAATATAAATCTAAAATCAACATCTGAAAATGGAGATATTTGAGCAGCTGAGGCTAGACTGCTCTGTGAAACCATGGAAAAGATGGCTTATTCTGCAGGCAGAATTGCATATTTACAGATAGATTTCATTAGAGAAGTGTTTCAGTATGGATTTAAATGTCAGTGTGACAATAAACTGCTTGTTCTTAAGGAAGTCTATTTGGACAGAATAGTAGATCATAAAAGATCAGGGGTTGAAACCCTGAAACCTACAGGAATCTCCTCACACTAGAGGAAGCTCTGAGGAAAAGAAACCAGATGGACAGAAGTAAAGATTACTGTGGGATGTACCACTGATATCTACATCTTGGTTAAGACTCAATAACTTAGGATGTTGATTGTTGATTATTGTATTCTGATAGGACTCTCCTGGAGAAGTGACACCTTTGAAGGTAAGAGGATGCTTCCCCTAAAGTAGGGTGACCAACAGTCCCAGTTTGCTAAGGATTAAATGGTTTTCCAGGACAGAGCACTTTCAGTGCTAAAGCTGTGACAGCTGAGAGCAAACCAGGAGTTGGTCACCTTAAGAATAAACATAGCCACTGTCAATCACGTGGAATTTGGAAAGACCAAACCAGGGAAGAGGATTGGGACTTACTGACCTGGGGAATTGCCTGGAATAAAGGGTGAAGGGAGGGGAAAGGAGAGAAGAGGAGGAGACTGTTCCTTACCTTGGCCCTTGGCCCTAAGAAACCTATCACACTGGGTAGTAGAAATCAGGCCAGAACATAGGATGAGATAACTATGTATCAGTACTGTGAGTCATCATATTACGAAGTCCAGGAAGAGGAGTTAGGTCTTGAGCAGCCAAAATGACAAGTCAGTTGTAGGTTTCACTGTTGCAATTCTATTCTGTTCCTTTGTAGCCTGGTCTCATGGCACTGTGGGATAATGTACATACTTTGGGCTGGGTGGTAAATGTAGAAGCAGTGTAGTGATGTAGGAGCAGCCCAGAGAAGGGGAGAGATCCCAGAACAGCAGGTAACCATTCACAGAATAATAGGCTTTTTCTTCTCTGTAATTATTCATATAGGATAAATTTCTAGTGGTTGAATTTATCAATGAATTGAAATGTATGAACATTTTAAGACTTTAGAATGACAAAGAAATCAGTCCTTCTATTAAGACAGCTGTTTATTATAAGGGTTAGAGAAAGTCCTGACAGAAAGGAACCGAATGTTTTTCTGGGCAAACATGGTGATTCCTTTCCAGAAGACTTTTTGAAATTTACTAACCTATGATTTCAAGGTCTACTTTGCTTGTTTCTGTTTAGTACTCAGAGATTTCATCTCTCCTATTTGATTATCGCAAAGTGGTGTCTTAAATGGTAGTCACATAAAAAAAGAAAAGCCTGTGAATTCTATATGTTAGGTACCTAGGAGTATCCCCAGCCTTCAACTAATATTTCCTCTTTCTTCGGCTTTGCCATTCTTATAATAAACAAATTCTTAATTCTGAATCCATGATCTCTTACACCCACAATTCTGTAAAATCTGAATGGGATCTAGGGAACAAAAGGGCCCTGAGGATATGTGCATGCACAGTGGTTAAGACTCCCTGATTTCTTATTTTCTTGACCTCCTTTTAACTTGCCTTCCATTGCCAGGAAAAACAACAGCTAAGCTCAGTTCTTGAGTTTTCAGTTTATTGTTTCAGATAGGGATACAATCATAGTATGCCTATCTATCTACCTAACCTCTTTTTTAACCCTCCCCACCACTTTCACTTCTTCATAAATGATCCCATTAAAACTGTGTTGTTTTTTGTCCCAAAACTAAATTAACTTGCTGTAGATCCTTTACAGTCCTGGAAAGAAGCTCCATCTCCGTTCATTTTAAACTAAGAATATGTTTGTGGTCCCCTTTTGTATAATTTGGAATTGGTAAACTGGTGATGATCCAATATGGTAGATTTCCCTTAATATATCCTGGGACTTTTGTTGTCTTGAAACAGTTAAGGGCAAATATGAAAACTATGCTGGCCAGATGGAGTCACCTATGGGAAAATGAGGTTTACATAAGACAAGCAAACTCCTCGACTCTTTCCCAAAACTATACCAAGAAGATACTATAAATCCACAGAAAGGACCATAAGAGAGGACTTCTCAGGCACTTATAAAAAGACCTTATGAGCAGACCCCTGGAAATCTGGAAATGCAGATCCTGATCCCTCTCCTAGATCATTTTGGGGAAAATGTAACTGTCGACTGAAAAGAATCTTGCCTATAAAAATCCAGGTCAAAAGGAGATTAAAGGAATAGATTTGAACAGTTACCCTGTGGAATTATTAAGACATAAAATGCCCCTGGGGAAAAATACTACCAGCCAATGTCCAGTCTATTCAACACTTAGAAATTATCTTTGGTGTGCAAGTAATAGACTTGAAATTGCTAATGAAATCTCTGCCAGACTGTTCCTCCCAATCAGGCTTCATGTCACCATCTACTAAGTTAATTTGTGAAAACCCCAATTTTCCTTTAATGTACCTTTTTATTAATTATTTTTTATTTTGGGTTTTTTTTTGGAGGGGGGATTAGGTTTATTTACTTATTTATTTTAGTGGAGGTACTGGGGATTGAATGCAGGACCTTGTGCATGCTAAGCACACTACCACTGAGTTATACTTTCCCCCTTAATGCAGTTTTTAAAGACTAAAATGCTAGGCACTTTCCAAGATCATACTCTACCTTGCCACTTAAGATACATGGGTGGCAGCAAGTATGTTCCCATTGCAATACTCATAATAGAACCAAAACCTTATAGGGAAGAGCACCCATCTCAGGAAACTTGGAAAGACGGTGAGAATTAAAATATTGCCTTATGAGGGAGACAAAGCAAGCTTAGGTCACAAGTTAAACTTTACAAAGGGAAAAGAAAATGTAACAGGGCACCTCTATTGCACAATGAATAAAACTAGCTTCCAATCACCTCTTCATTGTCCACTCCCATCTTACTGACATCATTGTACATACTGAGCCCAACCTCCTGCCAAATGGACCCACTCTTTGTAGAGTAGGATGATGATGGGAAATAGCATTTGGAGTAGAAATAAACAGCAGATAATAATCCATAATTGTTTTTAATCTTGAGGATGAATCACCCTCAGTTTATTTCCAAATTTCTTCTGTCATCAGCTGTTCATTTCTTTACTTTGAAAATCACCAGATTAACACTGCCAAAGGCAGGTAGGAAATGATCCAAGAGGACAATTCAGAAGTAGCACATGGTGAGTGGCTGAGAAACTCTGGGAACAAAACAATCCTCAGGAAAGTCTCTTTTCTGTCCCAGCAAAGGCACCAATGTGTGAACCTAATTCACACTTCTATTATTCCAATCAGGTTATTTTTATATCAGTACAATTTTAGAATAAGACTTGGTGGGGGATTATTTATTTCTTGAGAAATTCTGTTCTTCACTTTGCACACAAGATATTCAAGTCAGTCTAATTCCAAAATTCATTTCGAACCAAGAAATTAGATTCCTTTTACCTCTCCTTCTTATTACTTTCACATGCTTTCATCATTCCCTAAGTCTTCCTTCTGAACAAGGCATTTCAATGCAGAATGGCCAAACAGACATTCTAACATCATGATCATAAGAAATGTGATGTTTCGATGTGGGTTGTCTAAACCTGGGTGAATCTCCTTTGCCCATCAAACTATCAGGGTCTTTGGATGCCCTGTAAAGTGTATGCTTGCTGTTTTATCTATATTTTACTTGTCTTCTTTAAGCTGATTGGGTTCTTAAACCCATTTAGCCTTTAATTTTCTACTCAGGGTTCAAAGTAAGAGATTGGAATTCATATGTTCTCCCTGGGAACTAGGTTCAAGTCACAGTTCAATTATTGCAGACAGACTAAAGATGGAGGTTTCAAACTTTCCCTAACATCCTCTTAAAAACACAAAGCTGCAAACTCAGATCAGTAGCCATTTGCTTATGTCAGGAGACCATTCCCCAACTTAAATTTACCCTTAATACTTGCCTCAGATTATGCCTCTATAGGTATTAAAGTAGAAAAGCTAAAATACTACCCAAAAAATTCAGGGCAAATACTGTTTTCATTTGAAATCTCCAAACAATTGAAACAAAGAAAGAAAGTTCTGGCTGCCAAGATGTTATTTCCCCCTTGCTTTGATTTTGTAGGCATGATATAAACATCTGCAGCCAGTGAATTTTCAAATGAGTGGCACTCAACCTGGAGTACAATGGATAGCAGAGAACTGCTGTCTCAGTTTAGGTTTAGCTAATAAATTTGAAAATGAATCAGGATATTCTGGCATAGCCCCAATCCTTCCAAAACACGCAGATCAAATGTCAATTTGTGACAAGTGACCACATACTCAGTCATGCTAGATGATGGAACCGTGTAGGGGACGGTGAGAGGGAAATTTGTCACAGCTCCTTCTGGAAAGCCTCCCTCCTCCAAACCTTCCACATTAGCTAAAGTGAGTGAGCATCAGCTCCTGACGGCTGCGGTCAGCCTCTAGGTCCAGGGACTCCATGTGCTCATACTCTTCCTCAGGGGGCTGTTCCATGGGCCCTGTCATTGGAGAGGACCAAACATCCATCCCGTGCTCCAGGGAGATGTTGTGGAGGACACAGCAGGCCAAGATAATGTGGCTGGATTTCTCTGGTGAGTACTGCAGTGCTCCCTTGGATCCATCCAGGCAGCGGAATCGGGAGCAGAGGGTTCGGAAAGTCTTCTCAATCACACTGTGAGTTGCAGAATGGGCCATATTATAGCGATATTCAGCTGGAGTTTCAGGAATGTGAAGTGGGGTCATGAGCCAGGTACGGAGAAAGAAGGAACTGTCACCTGTGGGGAAGGCCCAAAGAAGTCATATATATTTATAACTGGAATACGAACAAAAAGGAAAATCCAGAAACATACTTAGAGAATGAGCAAGAAAATGCAACAGCCTCTGGAGCCAAAGCACAGCAGGAAAACCAAGAGGGAAATGCTATGGTAAAGAGAAGGCATGCCCAGGTCACGAGCAAGAAGACCTGAGACTTGGCTGGGAATACCCTTGGTTAAAAACAACAGAGAAAAGAGCTGACAGCTAAAGAAAGCTAAGTCGGAAAGAATGTAGGGCTGAGGTGAAAGCACTGGAGAAAATGAAGTTCCTGGGTTTTCTGAATTCAGAGATATTGTTCTTTAATAAATGCTTAGTAAAAACTATCATATAGCAAGCCTTCAAATTTCTAAAGAGCAAGAGTGTAAGAAGGTAAAAGAGAATTCTGCCAGGAGACCTCAAAACACTTGTGAAGAAAAATTTCTAACTTTACCATTAAAGTGTCAGGTCTGAAAGCACTACCTAGGGATTTCAGAGTATTTCAGAGACAATAATCATTCATTCTCCCAGTGCTAGGAAGAATAAGAAACGTCCTAGCATCTGTGGAGATCAGAACTCAGGTGTTCTGCCTTCCTAGATATTACATTCACTAGAACCATGCCTTTGTAACAGAGGAACTAATAAAATTTCACATTAACAAGGAGAGCATAAATATGACACAAACAGTAATAATCAGGGATAAGGAAATTAAATCAGAATTCTATTAAAATAATATACACAAAGCATTTCCTTTAAGTGGCTTCCTTATCAAATGATCCTGGGAGGTGTTAAAAATAAAAAAACAAAAACAAAACTGGGGTGCGATGTCCTATTACAACAGTAAAATGTTTCTATAATGTTTAATTGTCCTGACTCACTACATCTGGCAGATGAAATGTCTCACACAGAGGAACCACCTCAGAAATTTGAGACAAATAAACCCAAGGAATACCAACTTGCAAGGTTGCTGTGTTCCTGACCCACCATCAATTCCAGTAAAATGTTATGAACTGTTCAGAGAGTGCTAGGCATTGTTCCAAACATATAGAACACCTTTCTTTTAGGAGCATATATTTCTAAGAACTAGATTAACTTTATTTTTTAGACGATTTTTAATTAAAAATTTTTTTACTGAGATATTGACATATAACATGAGTTTTAGGTGTAGTCGATTAACTGTAAATAGCTAAGATGTCTCACAAAATTTTCAAATTTTATATTTAGCCAACTTTTTTCCACCTACATATAACCTATTTTAATTGAACTCATCCCTACTAAATACTGAATTTAAGAAACTGATATTGTTAATAATGAAAATAATATCTATGATTCATTGAATACCGAATACCTATGTAGTAGGCACAATACTAGGCACTTTAAAAATATTATCTCTTGTCCAAATCCAACTCTGCCAGGCATACATTATTGAACTTGTTTTACAAATGAGAAAAAAGTATGTCATCCATCCTTTGATATGTCAGGCAAAGGCAGGAGAAGAGGCTAGTCACTAAATGCTAATAATGTGAGACTCAGAGTCACTAAAATGAGAGTATAATGCTGTAAAAGAGAATATGAAAAACATTTAAGATGAATGCCAAAACACAGAGATACTAAATATTTGTTAAATGTTTCTCTGAGAAAGCGTATGGGCCTTAAACGGGAAACATACAAGGCAAGCCAGTTAATGCAGACCTTTTATAAATTGCTCCATCGTCATTAACAGTTATAATCCAAACACCCGTACAAGACAGACACCCAGGAGGGGATTAGGATCAGAATTGCTAAACAGATTACAACTGCATGATCAGTCATCCAAGAGACATTCTGGCAGATCTTACCTAAAGCTGCTTAACAGGATAGGCCAAGATCTGAAGAAATAAGAACTCAGGCTGAATTGTTTGTAGGAGCAGGTACATTTAGAGAAAGGGAATTAGGTGATGCCCTCTGAAGGCACAGATGAAAATGAGGACATGAAGGGGTGACACTCAAGGTGAAAATATGTTAACAGCAACAACAACAGCATGGAAATCACAGCTAGTTCTGGTTTAGCAAACCTGGAGTCATTCTACAAATGTGATGTTCTTAAGATACAATCAGTCTTCTCTCTCTTTTTTTTTTTAATTTTTTTTGGGGGGCGAAGGTAAGTAGGGTTATTTAAAATTTTTATTTTATTTCATGGAGGTACTGGGGATTGAACGCAGGACCTCGTGCAGGCTAAGCATGTACTCCACCACTGAGCTATACCCTCCCCCATCTCTCTCTTTTTTTAACATCTCGTCATTCTTTGTAATCCTGCCAGTCTTCCCCACATGTCCAGATCAGTGTTTCCCAAACATCTATTCATACAAATCATTTAGGACACCTGTTGAAAATGATGTCCAGATTCATCTTTTCTTGAAGATTCTCATTCCTGAAGTTTGAAGTGGGGCCCAGAAATGTACATCTTAAATAAGTTCCCCAGATAACTCTTTTGATCTGGAAAATTTGTGAAACACTGTACTACTCCAGGGATCATCAAACTAGTATTCCTGTTACAGCTGATGGAGGCTTTCCAAGGGGTACGTGCTACAACTGACAGTACTAAGGGAATCATTTCCATGTCACAGCTTCCTTTGGTATACTTCCCTTGCATCATTAGTGCCTAGCATGTGGCCTGGAACCAAAACTGGCCTTAAATAAACACTTGTTAAATGTTGTTGCAATATCCATCTGTCCTACTTCCACTCTTTCTGTAAAGAGGGGGATCATAAAAATACAAAAAATTTGTCAGAGTTTTTACTCATTTTCAGTGTCCTGTAAACAACTAAAAAACTACTTTAATGTCACAATCCCAACTGAATCTGGGGTCCCAAGTTATGAAGGAAAAGAAAATCAGTAATTCCTACATGACCATGAAGTCCTAACAAAAGGATCATTTGCCAAAAAGAGTAACTCTTCATAT